GGTTAACCAACAGGGGGATGGACACACACTGAACATTTGTGGACACAAACTTATCATGAGAATCCTTAACATATATGACAGAGTACATAAAATCTGGTGTGGAGGGGGTCATAAGAGGGCTGCAGATAGTGAACAGGGTGTAAATATGATCAAAATATATTATATAAAATTTTCAAATAATCTAAAAAATATTAGAAAGGAGAACCCAAATTAATAAAGTGAGATATGGAAAGGAAATATTGCAACAGATATTGAGAAAATTCAGAAAATCTTAAGGATATACATTAAATATCTATATTCAACTAAACTGGAAAATCTAAATGAATTGGGTGAATTTCTAAATATATGTGCCTATCAATATTAAAATATATTTAAGTAAATAATTAAAATAAACCCATACCACCCAATGAAATAAAAACAGTAATTAATAATCTCATAAGTAAAAAGGTCCAGGGTTATATGGATACAGAATAAAACTCTACTAGTCCATCAAAGCAAAGTTAATAACAGTACACCTTTAAATCAGAAAAGGAAAGAAAGAATACTTCCAAATTATTTTTGCAAAGCCAATGTTATCTGGATACCCAAACCAGATAAAGACCCAGCGACAGCAATAGCAACAACAAAAGAATTATAGTCTTATCTCTTTTATGCACATAGACACAAAAATCCCAATAAATATAAGGGTTCATATTTAGTATACAGCAAGAAATTTCATTTATCCAGAGATATGACAGAGATAGTTTTATTTTTCTAGGATCTATGGCCTCTCCAGCTATTTGTATTTGGCAATAGCTACAGTGCCATCATGAGTTCTCTCCCATTGGGGGGCTTTAAGTCCAATTAGATAAATGTTGATTACCCCCTACATAAAAGTGCCACTCCTGTACCAATAGAGCAAGTTTTCTGTGCCAGTCATTGTGGTTATTAGGCTTACAGCTTGGTTGGACCATTGGTTGATTTTATCTCCTTGCAGCTTTCATAGTATTCTCTAGAAATATGAGAGCTAACCTTCCGAGAAGAGACCTTCAGGTGGTTTCCTTCTCTCTTGCTCCAAGTCCTGTGTCTGAAGTATGTCCTGCACTCAGTGATATGGTCTTACCTTCAAGTTCTGGGGGTGATCAAAGGATGTGGCAAAAGTCTGTGTTATTTTGGGAGTCTCCTGTCTGACATGATGTTTCTTGTTATTTAGCCTTCAACTATGCACATTATAGTCATGTTCAGATATTGTATGTGTATTTTTCACGGAGTTTTTAGTTAATACATTTCTCTCTTGCCTTTCACACCACTTAAGTTTTATTTATCTCTCCTCTCTCCTTGCCTAACCTCCCTCTTCCCTCCCCAGTTTAAGTACTCCCATTGCCCCTTGATAATATCTGTCTCCTTTTATGCCTTTTGAGTTCCTTCTTTCCCTTTACCCCCATGGTTCCTTGTATGTCCTTTTCTTCTTCCTTTCCAGTTGAATACCCCCCTTTTTCCTATTTTCCCTTTGGTTATATTTGTTTCCTATTATCCCCCTCTTCAGTCTTTTTCTTTCCATTTATTTTGGTGGTTCCTTTCCATTTTCCTGGTTCCTGCTGTTACATCAGGATATAAATTCACATATAAGGGATTGGTGCTAATATCTATGAATCCATTTATCTATAAATTTCATGATTTTGTCTTTCCTTATCACTGAATAGATCTCTGTTGTGTAAATGTACCACAATTTCATTATCCATTTGACAGATGAGGGGCATTTAGCTTGTTTCCATTTCTTAGGCTTAGGTGTTGTAAAAAGAGCAGCAACAAACATGGATACACAGGTATATCTACAATAAGATGAGTCTTTTGGGTATTTGCAAGGAGTGGTATAACTGGATCATATAGTAGATTCATGTTTAGTTTTTTGAGATTACTTCACTCTGCTTTACATAGTGGTTCCATGAGTTTTCACCTCCACCAGTAGTGAATGAGCATGCCCCTTTCTCCACATCCTCTCCAGCATTTAGTGTCTTTTGTTCTCTTTTTCTTAGCTGGTCTGACTGGGGTAAGATGAAATCTTAAAGTGTTTTTTTTTTGCATTTCTCTAATTACTAAGGATGTTGAGCACTTTTTAAAGTGCGTCTTAGCCATTTTTATTTCTTCGCTTGAGAACTTTCTGTTTATGTCTATCACCCATCTTTTTAATGGGTTGTTGTTACTACAGGTCAGCAAGTTAACATATGATCACCTTCCAGCTACCTCTTTTTAAAAATAGTAAGCACATCTAAGATCTATTTAAAAAATTTGGGGGGGGGGCGTGGGACCAAAATCCTTCTCGAGAGCCCTGGCTGGCCTGGTGCTCATTATGTACCCTTCATTTTAGAATACGTTGTTCCTTGCAGAAAGCCTCTTTGTTTTTGCTACTAACACTAAAATGTTGGTGCATGCATCTCTAATCTGTGTTTTAATTTGTATTTCTCTAATTACTAAGGACGTTGAGCACTTTTTTTTTTAGCAAAGGTGATGAAGATAGCATTTACTGTTTCTGATTTGAAAGATGATGCTTTTAAACTTTACCAATCTGTATCATTGGTGTGTCTTTTGCTATTTTCAAAATATTTTTTATTGAATTTTTGTGTATTTCATACACAACTTCTTAATGACCTTTATGCCTCCTTCCCCACTGGAATCCTCTTGTAGTCCTTCGACTGAATTTTGTGCCTTTCTTAGCCATTTTTATTTCTTTGTTTGAGAATTCTCTGTTGAGGTCCTTAGCCCATCTCTTTATTGGCTTCTTTATTTTCTTGTTTCTTTGTTTTCTTGAGTCCTTTGTATAGTCTGGATATTAATCCTTGGTTGGATGTGTGGCAGGTGAATATTTTCTCCCGCTCAGTGAGTTTTCTCTTCACTTCCTTGGTTGTGGAACTCTGTAATACTCTTCATCTATTGCAAAAAGAAGTTTCTTTGATGAGTTGCATATGGTATAGTTTTCTGTAAATATTAGGATCCATATTTAGCATACAGTAAGACACTGCATTCATCTAGGAATATGACAGAAGAAAAGATTTCTTTAGGATCTATGGCTTCTCAAGTCATGTATATTTGTCTATAATTACAGTGCCACCCATGAGTTCCCTCCCATTGAGATGGCTTTAAGTTGTATGAAATTTATAAAAACTCAATAAAGATACTTTAAAAATCAAAAAATGAATGAAAGAAAAAGCTTGCACTAACATAATGACAGAGTGCATGAAATCCAGTGTGGGGGGCTTTTGGAGGGTGCCAGTGGGGAAGGTTATGAAGATGATTAAGATGTTGTATATGAAATATACAAAAATTCAATAAAATGTGTAGAATAAACCTAACCAAAAATATTAAAGAGCTCTACAATGAAAATTTTATGCCTCTCTTGCTCATGGATTGGTAGAATTAATATTATGAAAATGAACACCTCGAAAAAAGAAATCTATAGATTCAATACAATGCCAATAAAGTCCCCATAGCATTCTTCACAGACCTAGAAAAAAATCCTAAAATTCATATGGAATCACAAAAGACCTCAGATAGCCAAACAATCTTGAGCAAAGAGAGCAATGCTGTGGGGGTCACTATACTGATCTCAAACTATATTACAGAGCTATAGTTATAAGAACAGCATGGAACTTCACAAAAACAGAAATGAAAATCAATGGAACAGAATGGAAGACCCAAACATGAGTGCAAGCAATTTCATCCACCTTATATTTCACAACAGTGTCAAGAACACACAATGGAGGAAAGACAGCATTTTCAACAAATGTTATTGGCAAAACCAGATTTTCCATCTGTAGAAGAACAAAATTGGGCCCTTATCTTTCACCCTGCACAAAAGTCAATTCCAAATGGATCAAAGACTTCAATGTAAACCTGAAGAATATCTGAAACTGCTAGAAGAAAACGTAAACAGTACCCTAAAAGATATATGTGTAGGAAAGGATTTTCTAAATCAAACATCAGTTGTTCAGGTATTAAGGTCAACAATCAACAGGTGGGACCTCATTAAACTAAAAAAAAAAACCTTATGGAAAGCAGTGTGGAAGACTCTTAAAAAACTAAAAATGAACCTACCATATGACCCAGTCATACCATTCCTTGGCATATACCAAAGGACTTATCCTATTTCAGAGGCAGTTGTACAACCATATTTGTTGCCGCTCTTTTCACAAAAGTTAAGAGATGGAAGCAACCTAAGTGCCCCTCAACTGATGAGTGGTTAATGAAAATGTGGTACATTTACACAATGGAGTTCTACTCAGCAGTAAAGAAAAATGAAATAATGAAATTGGCAGGTAAATGGATGGATCTAGAACCCGTTATGCTAAATGAAGTGACACAGACTCAGAAAAAAAAAGACATATGTTCTCCCTCATTTGAGGATCCTAGCACCAAATCCTTATAAGTGAGGGCATATCCTGATGTAACTGCAGGAACCAGGAATATGGAAGGGAACCAGGGAGGTAGAGAGAAAGAAGGACCCCAAGAGAAAGAATAGTAGGAGAAAGGCGTTACTAAGGGAGAAATATGCAAAAAAGGTGAATGAGGGCTATACAAAGAACTATAGGAATAAAAGGGAAAAGTTCTCCTGATAAATAGTAAAAGTCAAAAACAAAAACAAAAACAAAAATGCCTTAAGCACAGAAGGAACATTATGGGAATGGAAGAAAGTCCTACCAGAAGCCATCCAGTTATTAAATGAAAATACCAGTGCCAGAGGTGGGCCCCTAAAAGCTGTTGGCCAAAGGGGCCCTAGAGGTCCCCAAAACAATAAAGGCTATTGCCAATAATGTTGGTTGTACACTGGAAGTGGACGATAAAACCCTATTGCTGAAGACACCACATGATGTGAACATGGGTGAGGGAGAAATCAAGCTTTCCCTAAGCTGGAAACTCCCCACCACTGAATGAGTGGTTTTCATAGTGCCAGAAGGCAACATGCAGATGGATGCTATCTCCTGTAATTCTGCTCAACAATGGACCCAATGTGCTGCACTATTAACATGCCAAACAATATGTTCCAGCTGGTGCAATAGTGGTGGATCTAGTGTCTATACAACCAGCAAGTTTTTGATTGGATATATTCCCTGCTCCTAGAGGTGGAACACACATCTGGTACTGTAGACCAGGCCAACCCTGTGTGGCAGGGGGAGGATATAGGCCCCAGGGGGGAAGACACTGCAATTGTTTTGTTATATGGATATGAGATGGCTGTGATGCACCTGATAATGTACCATCCAAGCATTTTTGTTTATGCCCATAGTTAAGTTATTACTGTTTAGATGTTCTTGCTTCTTATTGATTGTGTTTTTGATAGTAGATAGAATCCCACTGAAATGGGCCAGTGGCCCATGGGAAACAGATGATGCAGAAACTCAAAAGTTCAGTGCCTTGCCACAACAGGAGGAAGATCATTCCACACCTATCACTCTCTTCAAGGCTCAGGGGCTTTTGTGGAAGAGGTTGGCAGAAAGAATATAAGAGCTGGAAGAAGGGGTGGAGTGTTAACTGGAAGTGTCCTCCAACCACTATGCCAGCCACCTATAGTCATACCTCCTTCCCACACTCATCAAGGAGTCCATGGGGGAGTCAGTTACCCCTCCTACCCAATCAGTCGACCTTAGATTCATGTGGGGGAGGGGATAAGGATATATAAGCTGAGAACACCATAAGGCACTTCTCTCGCCATTTTGTCGGGGCTGTCAGAGAGTCACAGAATCTACATTTGAGTCTGGAGTTTCCAGCTGAACCATAAAAGGTGCTCAGTTTTCTGTAAACAAACCTTCAGTCTATGCTCTGTTAAGAAGCCAAAAAAAAAAAAAATGTCAGAGAGTCACAGAATCTACATTTGAGTCTGGAGTTTCCAGCTGAACCATAAAAGGTGCTCAGTTTTCTGTAAACAAACCTTCAGTCTATGCTCTGTTAACAAGCCAAAAAAAAAAAAAAATGCAGAGCTAATGGAAACTTTCATTATTCCACCAATTTGACCCTATGTTGGCAAATATTTTGGTCTTCGATTTCTTATTCTGTTTTCCCCTCTTCTCTTTGGAATAAGAAAAAGGGACTTTGAAGCTATCTTTCCACTTACAGTGGAGAATTTCTGGATTATCCAAGTGGAACAATTACAATGACAAGAGTTCTAGTAGATGGAAGAGGGGAGTAGAGTCAGAGGCAGAGATATGAAACTGCTATAGTACTGGTTTTAAAGACAGAGGGAGGGAGCAATGAGCAACAAAATGCTCTTGGCCTTCGGAGGCTAAAATATGAAATAAACAGATTTTCCCCTAAAGTTTCCAGAAGTACGTCCCCCCTGCCCCCCGAAAAGAGGGAAGCAGTACTTCTTAATTTACTCTGTCATTAAAATTATACTGTGATGACACAAAAACCAAAGGTACTAAAAAAGTTGTAAGAATCATTGAAAAATGTTGCAAAATTTCAATGAGCCTAATATATTGCATCCAGTAGTTATCAAGATTATGATACATCTTGTCCATGTGGAGCTTATCCCAGCAATAAATATTGTTTAATATATAAACATTAGTCAATACAGTATACCATATTAATAGAAAAAAGACACAGTTCTTAGTAATTACACTGATTATTGGCAGCTGGAATTGTTACTGTTAATACTGGCTCTCCCTCCATGCTCTTGTCATATGTACAATGGTAACAGTAGTTAAACTTTTAGGATAGGTGATTTAAACAATTCCCTAGCCTCCAGGATGCAAAGTAATTGCCATGCTATGTGTTTGCAGGATGTCAAGATCTTCTGGTTATGTGAATCTCCAGGGTCCTGGGGATATTATGTATGAAGACATTTTGAAGTCTCTTTTGTAGTTGGTAAGGCTTCTTCCATTGATGAGCCACCAAAATCTCCAAACTTCCAAAAGCAATGCCAATGGAAAAGCATAGCAGGGTAGACTTTTGGTTTCTACACTGGGAAAGTTGACACTATTATTTTAGTTTCTAGATGGCACATTGATTCCTAAATTCTTTTTTTTTTCATGTGCAGACAGTACATATCCTGATGCATTCTAGTACAGATGAGAGATTAAGCATCTGCATTTTCTATATGACCTCAGCCAGTGAGGAAAGTTCCCCAAGGACATATCTTAAGCAAAATTCGAAGTCATTAACCACACAGTAGTGAGAGCACTTCATGTCCCAGTTCATGATCCTCAAGGACTTAAGAGATACCTGCTTTATCACGTACTATTCCAGATTAGAAATGTTGATGTAATAGATTATTTTCAACTGTCAGGAAAAAGAACTAATTAGGCATTGTGTTTATAGATAAATACTCCCAAATATCTGTTTGTAAGGTAAAGTATTAAAAACTGAGTTAATTAATTCCTGAGAGGGCAAAGGTGAGATAAATTCATCCTTTAATAGAGTTCTCAGTATCACTTCTACACAGAATGATTCCAGAAGGTGGTTGTTTTCATTTCATTCAGGGAATTAAAGAATGGCAATGTTTTTCTCTCCTGCCCTGTAGTTCTTGCTACAGATTCAAAAGTTTCTCTTTGGCACTCAATGACTTTGAGTTTCAAATTTGCTATAACATTTTCCTCTTTTTTGACATGATTTTCAAAGACACTGGAACTTTGTTAAATCCATTTGAAGAAATCTGTGTCATTTTGATTTTCTATGCTTCCTGAAAACACGGTTTGGTCTTTGCAGATTTGGGATGTATACATTACATGATTACTAATACATACATTAGTGCTGTTTAAGTAGCTATATGTAATGATTACTTTGTATTTCTGAATACATGGGACTTTCTCATCCACTACAGCTGCAACCACAGTAAGTCCTCTAGAACTGTTGGTTTTTGTTCCAGGTTAACCTATTTCCATTTCTCTCCTAAAGAGTTTGTAAATAAAATCATCAGAGCATTGCTTTTTGAACACTTTCAGATATTTTAGAAGGTACCACAGAAATATTTGATCCCCTAAACTGTAGATATGGATATTTATTTAATAATGTATATTTATTAGGAAAAAAACATAATTTACTGAATTTCAAAAGCCAGTTTCTAGACTTTGTTCATGGAGAGTAAAGTAGTGGGGGTCACTGACAGCCTTCTCCTGGGTAGGGCATGCTAGATTGTGGTTTGGACAGTTTTTCTGGCTTATGCATAGTCACACGTTTTGCTGAAAAAATGCTCTGACTGTTCTTAAGGATGAGAGACAGGGGAAAAATATCACCTTGTAATAATAGTAGAAAACCTAGGATGCAACTCACAATAAAAGCCTTACATTGCAAGAAGAGCTGTGATGGTGTGTGACCTTCACTATGATCAAGACAGGTCAGAATGGAAGGAGGAGGAAAAGCATTCAATTTTGTTTTCCAAAAGAAACTTCTGAGCTCTGAAGCCATATCCAAAGGTGAATGCATTAAAAATTTATTCTCTGGAAGAGAAAATACCTTCTGTTGAGTCTGGAAATCTGTGATAAAATCCACGATAATCGACACCGTTGAGTTTGACCTTATAAAACTTTCTTGAATGTTGTTCTAACCAGTAAGAGCTTGTTTCTACAGTGGAACAGGTCTCAGTTTTGTGGCTGAATCCTGCATCCTTAAGGTAAGGCTTAGCCTTGGAAAATCAAGATGATATTGATAGATATCAATTGAAAGTTATTCTCTTCTCATTCAGGGCATTTTATTTCCTTGTATTTATTCACATTGTGGCATCCTAAGGTGAGATATGGTGATAGAAAAATGATTAGCAGATGTGGACTCTTCTTGTCCTCTGTCCTAATCTATCAGACTTAAGACTTTATGCCAGGCCCTTGATTTCTATATCTTTAAAGTAATGTATAAGTGATAAATGCAATGGATTTGAGGACTTCTGAAGTACAGCAACTCTCGAGCCGTGTTGAATGGAAACCTAAACTTACTAACGTTTGACTATATTTGGTAGCTTAGCAGAAGGACTACAAGGAATTTCTTGTGATAGCAGCTGGAGGCTTTAAAGTGGCTAGCTCATTTTTTTCTGAACGCTGGCAATGCTGACCCATGGAAGTAAACTGAATCTCTGTTAGAAAGACATTGAGTAAGCCCTAAAGAGCTAAAGACAAGCATTCTAGAGTTTATCATTATGATTTTAGGCAAGATTTTTACATTCTTCTAACCATAGTTTTTCTTTATTTAAAATAGGAATTTAAAAGTGTCTAAGCCTTATAAGACTTTTGTGTGGATTAGGTGAGAAATACCTGTAAATCGTGTAGTATGGTGTCAATCATATGGTGAAATACTCAATAAAAATGTTCCATAGGAAGAATGTGATAGACACTAAGCTCTGTAGGACATTGCAAATTGGGAAAAGCTGAGTCACAGAAAAAGTTTCATTTTCAAGTATTTAAGTATGCAAGGTTTTTTCTCTGACTGTGCTGAAATTTGCCCACCAGTTTTTGCCTCTGAATTGAAAAGTCTGAGTGCCCTTTTGTGGAAGATCAGGCTTTCCTTACTCTTCTGCTTGTGAGACAGGTATTTCCCTAAAGAGTGTGGTCACTGAACTAAGACTGGAAAAGAAGTTATTTTCCTTTAATATGCTGATTAACACTAAAGACATCAATTTGACATGTGAGTTATTTAGTTTGTCTTTGTATCTATATGGTGTGAGGAAATAAGATGAATACTGTAAAAGAGAATTTAAAATGTATTCAGATTGCAGCCAGGCATGGTGGCACACACGTTTAATCCCAGCACTTGGGAGGCAGAGGCAGGCGGATCTTTGTGAGTTCAAGGTCAACCTGGTCTACATAGTGAGTTCCAGGACAGCTGGAGCTACAGGGAAACCCTGTCTCAAAAAACACCAATAAAATGTATTTAGATTACTTCAAAATTTGCTGGAAATTGAACTAATGATTGAAATAATGAGGATAAATGGGCTGTTTTAAGTTTGGGGTTTTCTGTGTGATTCTGAGCATGAAGTGTGACTTTGGTACAACTTTCAGGAAGCCATGAAAACAGATTAGTCCATTCTTGGTTCTCCCAAGGGCTACCTTCTTTGGGGAAGGTTTGACAATTAGAAGTGCACTCGATTTTATTCCCAGGAGTTCTTGTCCCCGAGATGATTTTTTGGTATCTTGGACTATCAAGAAGGGTTGGAGTTTAGTCTTGGGCTTGGAAGTGTGAGGACAACTTCTCAAAGAAGCATTATCTTGAACACTGGGAAACAGGTCTTCCCACATGTCTCAGTATGTATCATGCCCACATGTGAGGGAGACAATTCATTTTATCCTTCATAGTCCTTGTGTATTAGGGGCACATAAAGATTTTTTTTTAAAGCAAGGAATCTGAAGTCAAGGAAAAACAATATTTAATAAAGACAAAACAATTTTAAGACCTATTGTGAAGTTTGATTCATACATGAATTCATACATGAATCAAGTAAATAAAAACAGATTTTATATTAAGTAATTCTGCTTATTTTCCAACTGACCACGCATGTAAATTTTAGATTATATAAATTAGTTAAAAACCAGTGACTGTGGAATAAATACGATATGCAGAGTGATTCTAAATGCTCTGATGGTCAGTCAGGACAATCTCATCCTCCATCCTGATCTTTGAGTCGCTAGTCCCCATTCACACCCTTGTCCTCTGCTCATTTGGTGAACTGATAATCACAGTTTCATGAGCACATCACTCTATTGTTTTAATCACATTCTGAACACATTTCCTGGGTTGCCATGGTGTGCCAATGTCCAGTTCCCTATTTTTGGCATCTTTTGTTTCACTTAAGTCTTCATGTTTTCAATTACTGGACTCCAAGAAAATATAGAAATTACACTTATTTTATGATCATAAAATTAATAACGCCATCTGTAGAAATTTGGAAAATGATAAAAATTAAAGAAAGCAAGCAAAGTTTGCCCAATCTTACATTACAAAGTAAAGATTCTAAATATATTAATTTATCATTTCTTTTGGATATATGCTTTGAATAACTATGTAATATTGGCATGCTTTTACCTTTAAAAAATTGTGTGTCTTACTGTGGGTATGTGCACATGGAGGGCAGGTCCCTGTGGAGTGAGAAGAGGGTGTTGAACCCCCTGGAGCTATAGCTGTAGATGTTTGTAGGGCACCTGATGTGGGTGCTAGGAACTGAACTTAGTTCCTCAGCAAGAACAGTATGTACTTTTAACCACTGAGCATTCTCTCTAGTTCCTTTACCTTGTTTTTGCTTAACATGAAACTATTGTACTTATTTGAGGGGCACAGTGTGCTATTTGAACACATTTACACAAATTGTTCTCATCAAATCATGGTCCTTAGCATTTTCTTCTGTTTATGACCTCTTTATTCTTTGGAGACTTTGAGCTCATTTCTTTCAGATCTTCATAGAACACACAAAAGGTTTTTATGAACTACAGTCATCAAACTGTGCTGGTGAGCACCATCACTAACTCTGTGTATTTATTGTGTTTTCATAACTGTTCTTGAACCTTTCATGCTCAGGTCCTGGGAATAACTCTTTAACTTTAAGTTGACTTATACTTTAGCATACACATATGATAGAGTCCAAATGATATAAGAAAAAGGAACATCTATACATGTGTTTTAACAATGGTGAAACATATCCTATATAAATTTTTATGTGAAAACTTTTAAGTGTATTCTTGAACTATACATATAAAACACAGAATCTTTAAATATTAATTACTTAAGATCAATAATTTCTTATTTCTGGTAAATTTACATAATTATAATTAGGATATAAGCATTGTTTTATGGTTTTAATTGAGATTATGCCATATTAATGTATATCAGTATTGCTAATCTCTAAAATTATTACTGTATAACTACTCTGTTCCATCATTATGATGTAAAAGTAAAGTGTGTGATTACTCCTCTGATCTTGGAAATTGAAATCCCTTCTGGGTATCATGAGGTTCACAATTTTATTATTTTTACATGCATATTTTTTAATTTTTGCAAATTTAATACAGAATTATTTGCATAACTTTCAGCCCTCCTGTTCCCTGCTGTAACTTCTCCAATGTCCCCCTCCACTCCTTCACAGTTTATTGGCCTCTTCTTTATTATTGCTACATATACATG